CATCTGTCTGCAAAGTTGCTCAATTTCTCAACATCTGAACATATGTTCTTTACTCTCCATTCCAGGGTAGGATATTTGTGTTCCCTTTACATAACCTAAGAGACAACTAGAGTATTTGGGGAAGGGGTACAGTTTGCCCCCCAAAATAATTTAAACTTGGAGCTTAGAAAAAGAAGAAAGGCGGTTCTTCCCATTTTTGCCTATCAAGGCTAAGCAAAGAGATCTTGGGACCCATCTCCAAAAAGCACCCAGTCACAAACCTTTGGATAATGAGTAAGAATGGGTCATCCCAGTCAACCTGTACAAAGGGCACTGCACATCCAGAACTCTCCACTGATGAAAATGCAACTTGGCTACTGAGAGTTAACTTACACCCCCACCAAGCTTTTGGGGGCACAGATTAGAAAAGTGACAATCATGGCAGACACATGTTCCTTCTCCCATGAGTTTCTTATTGGGCTCCTTGAAGTTGAAAGGCTCTCAATCCATTTTTAAGGAATAAAGAATTGTCCCATTTTTCCAAATCTCAGATCCTCTGAACCCTATAAACTGGAGAGCCCCACAAGGCTCTGGCTGTGGGCCTGTCTTACTGGAGAATCTGGGAGGTCCAGCACCTGTCTGATTCCCTGGCTTCCTTTGACTGGCAACGCCACAGCTGGTATATAAAATTGGAGCCAATATGTCCTTTGCCACTGCATCTGCCCAGGAACTTCCTTCTTATCCCTAGAGATTCAGCTCCAGGGTCACTTTCTCTGAAAAGTGTCCTCTCTCCTTGGGATCTCACACTAACTCTTCCTTACATGTTACTTTGTGTTCCAACCCTTCATTCACTGATCTAGCTCCCTCAGGGCTGTGGTCTTTTGACAACAAGAACTGGCTTATTCATCAGCATAGCCCCACTGCCCAGCACACAGTAGGAGTTGGAAAGGTATCAAATACGTTAATTAGGAAATAAAACCACTGCCTAACTCCCTCACTCTGCAAGCAGTGGATGTGTGGGGCTTATTTTCAAGGCTCAGGAGCTGTATAAATGCTTGGCTTCATGGAGGGGGTGAGCCAGATGAGCAGGATCAAAAGGCAGTTATTTTTTCTGTTACATGATTAAAACTCTCCTGAATGCCACAGGATTACAAGAGCCTGAGGAACAAGATGTCAACACACTTCTTGGGGAAAAGCCCCAGCCCTGCTGATGTTTGTGTGGTGGGGCTTTGTGGACCTCCTGCTGTGGATACAACACTATCCTGGCACACGCCAACCCAACAGAAATTCCTCAACTCACCCTCGCGCAGCATCACTGCTCCTCTTTACTTCTCTCCCTCTGGGTCAAGAGCTGGTGGTGAAGTTTGGGGGGTAATGAGGCTAAAGTGCCTCCATATTACAAATTGACTTCTGTTTCTCAGCTCTGCTTGGTAAGTGACCCTAAACATGGCTTCAGGTCCCAGAAAACTCATCAGTCAGTTTTCTGGTCAAGTGCAGTCAAGGCTTCAATGCAGCCAAAGACTTCTTCCTGCCCTAGCTGGTTTGGTTAAGTGGACAGAGCATTGGCCTGTGGACCAAAAGTTCTAGGGTTCAATTCCGGTCAAGGGCACATGCACAGGTTGCGGGCTCAATCCCCAGCAGAAGGTGTGCAGGAAGCAGTCGATCAATGATTCTCTCTCATCATTGATGCTTCTGTCTAACTTTCCCTCTCCCTTCCTCTCTGAAGTCAATAAAAATATTTTTAAAATAAAAAAATAAACTGTATTTCTATACACTACAGAAAAAAAATTTTTTTTAAGACTTCTCCCTGAGTTCTCTGTCAACCCTCCTTGCATCCATCTCTATGGATTCTGAGTCCAGCAGTCTGGATACACCCAAACATTAGTCTGTTTGTTATTGTTGTTATTATCAATAACTCCGCAGATTGCTATACAACCAGGGCTGAAAACCAGAGCTCTAAGCAAAAAACTAAATAGCTATTTTCCTTTTTTATTCTGATCCTACCAGTAGTGAATCCAAAAATCAAGATCTTGTGCCAGCTGCATTAGTCAGAAATACAGAAATATGGCTTTTAAGTGACTTGTTAGACCCCCTACCTCTCCCTTCTTTCCTAAGGTTTTGCACCAATCCAATCTCAAGACCATCTGTGTGCCTCTGATTCATGAGCCAATGGCTGGTCCCCTCCACCCCAGAGATTACTGCAATATCACCTTTGTTCACCCCAATTCACACACACTTGAGGTTGAGCTCCTTCTTCAGAAGATCATGCAGGAACAGAGGGTATAAGAGAGTCACTCTTCATTCACTTCTTTATTTTTTTATTGAACAAGCAGTACTGAATACCCATCATGGGTCAGACATGATGGGATACAACGGTCAGCAATATCCAAGAATGGACCTATAAAAATGATAGAACGTTAGCTTATGTCAACGGCATTTGGCAAGAAGCTTGAGCCTAGCTCTGTTTCTTCCTTTTCTCTCATAGATCATCTAAAACTAATTCCAGATCCATGAGTGCATGTCTAGGACTGAGACTGGCTTTGTGAATCTCTGCACAAATACTGCCACTTGTCACTTATTCCATTCTTCAATGTTTGATACAAGCTCTCCTTATTCATAAATGATTAAGCGCCAAAAATCATTTACTCAGGATGGTTGAGGCCCAAGTCTTTATCCCCAAATAGATTTTGTTCCTATACAGATGTTGGTTCTGGTCCCATGTGGTAATTACATAGTTTGAGGAGTGATTCTTCCATGACATGTCCATACAAAAGGTATTAATTAACCCATTTCCTCCCTCATTTAAGACTCTTTCTAAACTCACAACCATAAGCCAGTGACTTTGTCCATTACATTGGCTCTATATGCCAGCACTAATGAAGATCCCTTCTAACACAGGATGTTCCCCAGATATCCAAATGTATGTGAAAATACATTTCCAAATTGGACTGATTAAAAGCCCAAAACAATATGTTTGTTTCCATCACAGATGTGAAGTCTGATATCTATTCCTAGGAAAACTGCTGCCAAGGAATGACTCAGCAGCTGACATTAATGCAGCCATTTGATTTTCAGTTTTAACTTTACAAATTAAATTGTATAACTATATTGATAAAAGGGACCCTCTCCAGACACATTCAGGTTAAAGCCCAATTGACTGCCAAAGGCTCAAAGTCCTTAAGGGGGATGAAAGTAAGGACCCTGGCCAGGGTTAGGATGGGGATGTCAAAGCCACATTCCTTTGAAAATGGATTCAATACCAAAAAAAATATTAGGGAACAAATAATCTATGGAGACTTACAACAGGAAAAATATGAGCAAAGCAACAGATCTCAGAGGCATGCAGACATAAAAGGGCATAAAGAAGTATATCAAAAAGAGATATGAGCCACACATGGCACGTTCTGAGATCAGTAAGGAAGGGAAAGTGATATGTAACATCCAGTTGCTGTTATGTAATCCCACATCCTGGTATTTTCCCTCGTGTATTGGGAGTGAGTTTTTTTAATGCCTGGTTTCAACTTGAGTTGGGCATGAGGATAGGTTGACATAACGAAGTGATATTGCAGGCAGCATTTGGAAAGGCAAACAGAAAAACACGTTCTGCCATTAGCCCAAGTAAAAGGCAATGTCGCTATGTGTGACCCTAGCCAGACTGATGAACAACTATAGACCTCAGTCCATCCATCTGTAAATTGGGGCTAAATATGCCTGCCTCACAGGATTTTGTGAGGATTAAACAAGATAACAAAAGTTAGATTACCTTCCTTTCTTCTCTTTATAATAGTTTTAGAAGAAATAATTGTCAGGAAAAAGGCAACATGGTTAGCTGAAAGAATGAGTGTGTCAGCTGAAAAGACCTAAGGCATTTAAAGAATTTGGACTTTTTACCTACTACACTTCAGGTCCTTGGGGTTTTTAAAAAATGAACTCACATGCTTTAGGTCAGCGCTGACCTTTCTGTGATGATGGGAATGTTTTATATCTCTCCTGCCCAATGTGGTAGCTTTTGGCTATTGCACGCTTAGGATGTGGCTAGTGCAACTGATGAATCACTTTTAATTTCATTTACTTTTAATGACTTTAAATTTAAATAGCCATACATAGCTAGTTGCTATCAAAGTGAAGAGTGCTCCTTGAGATCTTTCTGATTCTAAGCTTCTCCCACACAGTCTGGACTTGGGGAAGCAGAAGAGGGTGAGTGTAAGCACACAGACTCTGGAATCAGACTGCCTGCACTCAAATCCCAGCTCTGCCCCTGGGTGATCTCATATACGCTCCATGTGCCTCAGGTTCCTCATCTATACAAGAGGAATGCTAATGTCAACACCTGTTACATATAAGAGGCTGGGGAAAATAAATAAGTTACTATAAGCAAGGACCTCATGGTTATTCATCTGATGAAAACAGTCCTCCTAATTCATTACAACTATGTATTTACTCCTCTGCCTTAACCACTAGGTTATAAGCTAAAACACCAGTACCAAGAACCATGATGGCACATTTAGACTCTCATAAAATAAGCATTTAAATAAGTGTTGGAGGGAGGGAAAGAGAGAGGGAGGCAGGAAATGGGGGGAAGAAGAAAGGAAAAATGAATGAAATAGGCAGTAATGTTTTTAATGAAGAGTGAAGAAAGCTTCTAAAACAAAATAAAATTTGACAGCTTTCAATCAAAATTTCAGTGGAGATGACCATGGGAGATGAAGAAAAAGTGAGGTGCACTGGGGGAAAGCATGCTTCCCAGTAATGGGCTGGGAGAACTCTGAGAGAACAGAGGAGAGAGGTAGCTGGACTTCGTTCCACATCTATAAAAATACAAACTTCAATCCTTAAAAGTGTGTGCAACCAAGCTTCTTCAAGAAAACACTATTGTGGGTCATGTGACTTTACTTGTCCATGTTATTATCTAATCTAAAAGGCACTATTAGAAGTGAAGTATATGTTTTGTTGGCTCCCCATTTCCAAGTTTTTATTAATACTACATTCACCAGTTCCCTCAAAAAAAAAGCACTGTTGGGCAAGTTTTCATAACTGTTTATTCATTATAAATAGTAAATATTTACTGCACTTTTTACATGAAAGACATTTTTACAACACATTGTTGTTGGTTGAGGCTGCAACACAAAGATAGATCTTCTCTTCATCCATCACCCACTAAGACCAATGTATGAACTAAACTCGGGACTATGTCTAGTCTCACTAACTCACTATGTCATAGTTCTTAACGCTAAAGGGAATGTATTTGTGCCTACCTCGTTCGTGATTCCAAGCATAGAAAGAAATAAATAACACTGCCTTCCCCCTGCCTGTTTGTTTTAACATCTCCAAAAACAAATTTATTGACATTCTACAATGTCACCACAATAACATATGTAAACCTCAGTTTCTAGAATCTTTTCATATTGGATATTGTTGTATAATTTAAAAGTACAGGAGAGCCACGTGGACATTTCTGCTCTTGCCCTGCCTTTCCTAGAAAAGAGAAGAATGTAAACGTAGTCATTTTAAAAGCATTATTCTCCAATATGGTCTCTAGTCAAAAGGAGCGAGCCGGGTGTCGGTTGTCCAGCAAGTGGCGAATATCTCTGCATTTGACCACAGGGAATCACGGGCTGCGAAAATAAAGCACCTGCAAAAATATAGTTCTGATTCTGTATCTATGACCCTGGCATTGCCAAGGCGTCCGTGAGGTACACAGTATTGCACACTGATAAGCAGCTGTGGGAATGCACTCAATTCTCCGCCCCCTCCCCGCCCAGGTAGGCTTCCACGTGAAACTGAATTGCGAAAACCACACACACCTCTCCCATGCTGGGAAGGAAAACCGGCTTTTCCTCCCCTTATCCCAGGTCCTATTAGCAAGATGTGTCCTTCTGGGACATTTAGTAACAACTGAAGTACAAGTGAGGATAAGAGAACAAATAATTTATTTGGGAGGTCCTTTATAGCTAGTCTATCTTCCTAAAAACGGTGGCATTTATTTGTATATCAATTTCCAGTGTGTAAAAGTCAAGGATTCCTCCATGCCTGCTTCATTAAGTGAGCAGCTTAAAAGTTGTAGAAGTGTCAGCATTGGATATCAAGGTTATACTTTAGAGAATTTTCTGACTATATTTTAGAACATTCTGCTTGCCTGAACCAATTCAGATAGATCTCTCTCTCTCTCTCTCTCTCTCACACACACACACACACCGATGTGCACACACACATACATACATGTGCACGCACACACAAATGGAATGTTTTAGCTCCTTGATGATCAGCACTAAATGTTGGGATATTTGATATGTAGCCATGTTAAATCATTGCCTTAAAATGTTGCATTTGTCTTTACTGATCTGCGTCTTCCTTTTCTCCACGGCTTTTGTCCAGCATGTTCAAAAGAATTTGAAACCAACTACTGGAGAAAGAAAATCAATCATTCTCCTCTGTCTCCTGTCAAGACTGCCCCCCCGAGAGGGTGATTTTTTTTTCTGAGATTCTTCATGTCTCGGCTGTGGAGACTGGAAACAGGGCCAGTTTTACTCCAAGTGGACAGTCCACTTATGCGATATCTGGCTTGAGATAATGAAAGGCACCTGTAAGGAAACACACACAGCTCTTTAGGTCACGCTGGGACAATTCACGGCAAGGGGCAAAATCAGCTACAGGCTGACAATGTCATATTTAATACCGTGGTATCAAAGGATGGAGACTAATATTTTTATTCCTGAGACAAGTTTGACACAACTCTGTGTCTTTGGGATTATACTCCACATGATCCTTGAACTGACCTCATTAAGAACATGTGTTTCTAATGCCAAGTGTTAGTTCATTTTGGCCAACCCTTGTGTTTTACCTAGTGGCAATCAGGTTTCACATCGCAGCAATTAATAACCGCAAGATGTTGTTGACATCTGTTAAGAAAATAATTATACAAGCGAGTCCTTGCTGGTACCTCAGCCGGCTTTGCCCCAGTTGATCCTGGGATGCAAGGCTGCGTCAGGCCGCCACTTCCCCTTCCTTACGGAAGAGTTGGAATTTTGTACCCTTCCAGGCGTAAATACCCCCTAGAAAGTCCAAGGCTTACTTTGTCCATATTGCCCATATTGGTAGCCTGTGACAGGGTCCATACTGTAGCCCGTGGTGCTGTAGGTGGGTGGACAATAGGACTGAGATGTTGGCAGACTGTCCAAGCTCTTCATATGGTCTAGTCTCTGACTGCAGCTGGCCGACACCGTGGTGGTAGGTTCCAGGCCCCCAGTGAGAGGAGAGAGAGCATAATCGGTCTGGGGCTGATGGGGTACCCCGCCGTGGTTGGTCAGGAGTCCCATTACCTAAAACAAACAGGTGGATTAGGAAGACGTGAGACTGAGAGAAGGACCCTAGCCTACAGCTGACAGAATAACTGGAAAAATCCCATTGGGATTTCTTTGGAAATCTCCTGTTAAAGAGCTGTCCCGAAGATGGTGACCTGAATTCAAAGTAGCAGAGGTATTACATCATGCTCAAGGATAACATCTGACTGCCCTTTCAAAAAAAAGGAAAGGGGAGGGCATGGGGGGGGAGGGAAAAGAAAATGAAGGAAGGAGAAGAAGCGGGGAAAGAGAGAGAGATTACACCATGCCCCTAGTGATAAAAGCGGACCTGGATTTCAAAGAAGGAGAAAGGAAGGAGGGACACAGGGACAGAGCTAGGGGGAGATTGCATCTGTTCACATAGAATAATGTCTAACCATATATTACATTTGTTTCACCTGTGGTTTTAAATATAAGGCATTTGCTTATATATTTTTAAAAAGTTAAATGAATTCAAATCAAATTCTTTTCCTGTGTTTCGAGATCTCTGTGGCTTTTTTCAAAGTGTTCCCTCTCAAGAAAGTTGCTCCCACTCTAGCTGGTTTGGATCGGTGGATAGAGCGTTGGCCTGTGGACTGAAGGGTCCTAGGTTCGATTCTAGTCAAGGGCATATGCCTAGGTTGCTGGCTCCATCCCCAGTGGAGCATGTTCAGGAGGCAGCCAATCAATGATTCTCTCTCATCATTGATGTTTCTATCTCTCTTTCTCCTCTCCCTTTCCCTCTGAAATAAAAAATATATTTTTTTTAAAAAGAAAGAAAGTTGCTCCCTATCTTGGGTGTCCTTCAGTAATTAGAAGTAATTGCTCCATCCCTGAGGCTTCCTTGTACTTTTCTCACCCCTCCCACCCTGTAATCCTCACTTCACCTACATTGAACTGTGAGAGACTTGAGGGAAGTAGCCTCACCTAACAGAGTGCTTAGCACCTAGTAGGGAGGGAGTAAAGGAAGAGAAGGAGGAAGGGAAGGAGGGAGGGAGGGAGGAAGGGTAAATGATTCTCCAAGTAACTGCGTCCCTTGCTTAGTCTTCCACTTCTCTAAACTAACATTTCCCTATAAATAAGTGTTAAATGAAAAGCCTGAAATGCAAGCATGTTATAAAAAGTCCACTCAGTTTTGTAAATAACCCTAAAGAGCAAGAGAACTTTAAAAAAAACAAACTGTGATAACAGAACAACTTTCAGATTAGCACGGTGACAAGTTTCACAAACTCAAGCTCGCTGACCCTTACAACACCTTGTTTCAGAAGTAAGTGGATAATTAATTTTGCAGCTGGAAACCTGTCACACAAGAGAGGAAGTGATTTTTCTCAGGTTCATACAAGTCAGTGACAGGGCTCAAAAAGCAATTGCAGAAAAAAATCAACTGCTGGGTGTAGAGCCTCGTGTGCTTACAAAATATCACCTGCTTATATCATATGTAAACGCAGGGGCCCACAATGGCCCGGTATTGCCATAACAGTTCTGGTGTGTTTTACGATGTTTGAAGGACATGAAGCTTAAAGTGTGCCCAGAAGAACAGGAGGAGGGGCAGTGATGAAACCCGATGCCTGACTCCAGGCCTTGTGCAGGCCCCCAAGGAAATTCAGGCCCTAGGAGCTGGGATCTAAGGGTTCCAGCAAGGCAGGCGGGAGAGACTAGTCTCGCATCCCAGAAATTACATTCCAAAAAACGATGAGGCCACAATGCCCTTTGGGAAGGGCGTGCATAATCCTCACAGCTAAACAAAATCTTCTTGAAATAAAGCTTTAAAATGATCCGCCTTCCATTAGCCCAAGAGATGAGGGAGGAAGAGAGAGAGAGAGAGAGGGAGAGAAAGAGTGAGAGAGAGAAACCATCTTCTGTGGATTACCCATCTCCACTTCTTTTGCATAATATCCAACTTTTTAAAGCCATTCCTAGATTTTCTTGAGCTATGTGGTGAAATATCTTTTTAACAAGCTCTAAAAATTATGTATATTCCCAAAAAACCATCATATGCAACAGAGCATAGTTTTGTTTTATTGGTGATTTTAGGGAAAGTGAAAATCACAGAATAAAGTAAGAATCCATAGGATTCACAGCTCCAGGAGAATGGAAAGCCACTAGAGCCTGGGCTCCCTTAGGGACCTACCCTACAGTTTATAGTGAATTTACTTTATTTCTAAAAGTTGAACGTAACCTACAATGCATTGAAGTTATTTCCCAAGTGTTCTTCCAACTACATGGTATGGGGATTTTTCCCCCCTTTTTTGCCTTTCTTTGAGCATATATTGACGATTTTACAGTGCATACTTGGAAAATTCATAGACTTTAATTAGTAATACTAATTTATTTAATATTTTAGTTCAAGACATAATTTATGTATGTCTATTATAATAAAAGAGTCTTTAAAATAGAGGTTGTTCGATGTCAAATGCATTCTTTTTAAATCAGAGGTACCTCTTTGTGTACTGGCCTAATGGGCAAGAATGGATAGGAAGGATTAAAAATACAAAAAAAAAATATGATATATTTTTTTCATGAAAGGGGGATAATGACACAGGGTACAAATATCTCACTGTAAATAAGCTGTGCTAAGTAAAAACAAAACAAAACAAAAAAAACTAGAAAAAAAACAAATTTTTAACTATCAATCCATAAAGAAAATTATCCAGTAGTACTAGATAAAAAGGGAGCATATTTTAAATTAATACATCCTTCATGAAGATATATACTTGAAACTCAGTTTATGGTATGTCACTTTAAGGAAGAAATGGAATACCCTATGTACAGTTATAGTTGGAGAGTAAAGCAGACTTTTATTCAAAACATGCACACTCTCCCATGAGCTATATGTACATTTTTGTGATAAACTTTTTTTAATCCTCTGCTATACATTTCTTGTTTGCATAACTTTGAAAGCAGCAATAACTTTGACCACGGGGCAGGGGAGAGGGGAGGGTGGACCATGAAGATTCTAAGAGAAGAAATGAGTCCTTCCTGTAAGCAAAAACCAGCTTATGATGTTCATGGAGCAACTTTTTGCAGCTGCTAAATTTAAAAAGAAAATGGTGTATAGGATTTACATCTAAGACCTTGAAACATACCTATTGAAGGAGGGAGATATCTTTCAGGGTCATATTCTAGGTCAATAAAAAGATAGTTCCTCAAAGGTTCTAGGTCACGGTGTCTTTAAGACATCCGGGAGCATGACCCAGTCAGAAAGGATGGCTGCCGGGTGAAGGAAAGAGAAGAGCAGCTGGTTGGTTCTTCCTATCAGTACTGCCACTTGTCACACTTGGGAAGCTAGTGACAGCCCTGCTTTAGCAATAGTTCTGAGCTCAGCAGCCCAATACTTGCAGTGGCTAATGTGCAGAAATTAAGGGGACCAGAGATCAACTGTCTTTGGTCCCTTTGACTTCCCTGATAGAGCCCGAGAGATAGACATTCCCCCACAAACTTATCTCACTGTAAATATCACATACTGTAATTGTGATTTGTTTCTCACAAACTGTATGAGGATGGGGAAAGATGCACTAATATTTTCCTACAGTTGGTCTGAAATTAAAAGTAATAAATAATTATAACTAATGCAATTCACTTCAATATTTCACATTGATAAGACTTGAGACATATACCTATTTTAATAGATTTAAAAATTAAAAATGAAATCTCTGTTGGAAAAAAATAGTGAATACATAAACACAAAATATATTGCTTTCCCCTAACATAATTTAAAACCTCAAATCTCTGTGGAAGGGTCCCATTTCACTTTTATGTATGTTGCTTTAAAAGCTATTTTGTATTTCATGTGGTTCAAGGGAAGCCATGAAAATTTCTATTTGCTGCACAAAGAAGTTGGTAAATGAAATTCTTGGAATTCCCCCAATATGGTTTTGGAATGTCTTCCAGTCATACTTTTTTTTTCTCTTTTAGAATATTGTCAGGATTTCTTTTATATATCCTTTTCCTATAGCAATTGTAATTCAAAAACATAAAATAAAATCTCAATTTGTTGCAAAGTGTGTTCTTTCCCCCCATAAACCATCAGTAAGTTATTTCTACTATAGGGATGGCATTTTTGACTGATTATTTTTTTTGGGGGGGGGGGGGGGGGGGGGCAGGAAAAAAAATTGCCTGGTTTTTACACACTATTTCAAAGGAAAAGAAATAAACTCAGGGCTACTCAATTCTGTCTACAGAACACTGACCACATTATTAAATGCCAGGTAAATCCAGGAAGTACAAGGACCAGGAAAAACATTGTCCTTTGATGAAAATCTCGGTTCTGTCCTTTGGGAAAGGAATGTGGAGAAAAGATTAGTTTTTCTTAGTCTTTATTTTTAAACATATTTTTACTGATTTCAGAGAGGAAGGGAGAGGGGGTGAGGGAAACAAACATCAATGATGAGAGAGACTCATTGATCGGCTGCCTCCTGCACACACACTACTGGAGATCCAGCCTGCAATCCAGGCATGTGCCCTGACTGGGAATTGAACTTTGACCTCCTGGTTCATAGGTGGACACTCAACCACTGAGCAACACCAGCCGCATGAGGAGAACTTAGTTTTTACTTTTAGTTGAGTACAACTCTTAGGGAAGGCATCTAAAAAGACATCTATTAAGGATATTTTTAAATTGTTACCTACAAAAACATTTCCTAGATATCGTGTCTAAATTGTTTTATGGATAACCTTGACAAACAAAGCCAAAGCCTTGAAATCATAAGCTGATTCCTTCATCATTCACATTATTAGAGGCAGCTTCTGAAGATCTCCTTAAACTCATTCTCAAATTTCAGAATTCCAAATAGGTTGGTTATATCTTGATTGGAAGATTGTACGGTTCAGGAAAAGCTAACTCTTTAGAATTGCTTCATGCCATATATCTCTTGAATGAATTTTCCTATTGTTAAGATTAAATATAAAAGATAAAAACTATGGGCCAAATTAAGATCTACATTTAAACAATGTGTCTGAAAAATATTTGTCTTGGCGTAAGCATTATGGTTTTACCTTCA